ATTGTGCACTGAAATGTGGAAGGGAGACATCAAGAGTGTCATGGAAGACTGGGTTGTAATGAAAGTGGAAGGAAAAAAAAGGAACAACTGAACCATAAAGACTTTAGTTGACTTACTGGCCAAAGTATGCAAGTTGTGGGAGACCTGTATTGGATGGGGTGAGAGAGCTGACATTAATTAGTATTCAAGGTAAGTATTAAAAAATAATGAACGATAACATTTAAAGGCATAAACAAGTGTATTTGAGGTGGACTTTTCAGATACATTCACTTCATAAGATAAAATTTTATATGCTGATTATGACATTTCACTAAAAACACAACTCTGATCAAATCTCAGGTCCCATTCATTACATATGAGGTATTATTGGGTGCCAGTATTACAGCAGAAATATAAATTTTTTGAGTAACTTTTCCCCCTACTCAATTTATGAGAAGGAAAGAAAAAAACAAGTCTAAATTGTATTCGTTGCCTTTTTATATTGGTCTTAATGTCAGCTCTAATTTATTTCAGGGAGGTTACTGCCACCTAGTGGCGATAGTAATCTGGGCTACAACACTGGCACAATTCAGAGCAATGACAGTAAAGAAACTACTTAATATCTTCATCTTTGTAATTTGTGAGATATCTCTGAGTAGAATGCAGATAAAAGAGATAACCTAAACTTCTAGAAAAATGCTAGAAAATTATTAATTGAAAAAAATTACATAGCCTGTCTTAAAATCAGGCTGTAAACAATTGAAAGGAAATACTGGTTAGTTTTATCAACCGATGCATGTTAAAAATGGGCTTATTTTCTTATTGTGTCAATTACACCTAACTAAAATTGAAAAAAAAAAGCTTATTTTTCAAGCATCCAATAAATTCTTATTATGGCCCAGTGCAATACTAGGCAGGATGGAAATGTGCAAATACATCTGTATTTAAGGTGGGCCTGTGTGTGAGGTGGGGGGAGAAATGCTGCCAGTGTCTATTGTGTGGAGTGTTTTCTTGGGGAGGAATTCAGTTGCAAAATATATAGCAAAATGCATAAGGGGTGTTAATCCCACATATATGGTTCTTTTTGCATGCATCCATGTAATAGCTACTCAGGTCAGCTATTGGACTTTTGCATTCATTTCACTTGACTATATACTTAGAAATAAAATTGCTAGGTCACAGGGTAAGGTTATTTTTAGTAAACACTTCCAAACAGTTTTCCAAAGAGGTTGTACTAGAATGCTGTTTTTGTAGGTATATTTTATACAATTCAAGTTATTAGGGAAAACAATTTCCAGGTTGAGAAAGGAATTTCTGGGAAAAACACTGTAGTAAAGAAAAAAGTTAGCAAGCCCTGTCTAGTGTGACTCAGTGGGTTGAGCACTGATCTGAGAACTGAAAGGCTGCTGATTTGATTCCCAGTCAGAGCACATGCCTGGGTGGTGGGCCAGGTCCATAGCTGGGAGCATGGAAGAGGCAAACCATCAATGCTTCTCTCATACATAGATGTTTTTCTTCCTCTTTTTCTCCCTCCCCCCTCTCCCTAAAAAATAAATAAAATCTTTTCTTTAAAAAGAGGTTAGGAAAAAAAGAGGTTAGCAAAGGTGGGTAAAATGAAAACATCTGCAATAGTGCCAACAGTAAAAAATAACAGAAAGAAAGAGGTTAGCGCAGAAGGGAGACGCTTAAAAGGAGTGGTGGTCAGTCTGGTTTTGCACTTCCTCTGTTAGAGTTTCTTCTAGTAAATATTTCCCACTTCACTGCTTCCCTTTTTCTCTTCCTTCTATTTGGACTCTCTATTTCCTTCCACCTGTTTTCTCCCCTTTCCACTGCATCTTTCCCAGGATCTGTCCCACAGCCCTCTGTTGGTGGGCTGTGGAGGGAAAGGAGCAACCTATAGTCTTCACGACCCTGCACAGCTCTTTTTGTCTGGTTTATGCCCCTCATAGGAGTTATGAAAGCACCTTGCCTACCTGAAACCACCTGTCAAGCCAGGGAGAGGTGGATATAGTTATACTACCCTTTTCTCCTTGAACTGGGAACTCCTATGCTGAAAAGAAACACTGAGATTCAGTTAGGTGGTTGGGCTGATGGCCCAACCAGTGATTATTATTGGTTATTCATTCAACAAACATATATTTTTGTTGGTGATACAGTAGTAGCATGATTTTCCTAGTTTTAGCACTGCAAGTCCGGTTTCCTGAGAAATCCCTCAGGTTTTGGCAAACCAGGACAGGTGGTCACCCTATATAATCAAGAGCAAACACAGTTACAGTTCTGCACTTATGAAGCAAACTACTTACCAGCGTGTGATGGACGTTATCACACAAGTTAGGAAAGTACTCTGAAGGAAGGGAACTTGGAGGAAGAGATTCTATGACTTCCTTAAGAAAATGTCTGAACTGAATTCTGAAGGATGAGTAGGGATTAACCAGGTGAAGGAAGAGTGGAAAGAGAGTGCTCTGGGTAGAAGAAATGGCTTGTCCAAAAGCCTTGTAGCTGGAGTTCGTGGGGCATTTGTGAAATAGAAAGATGTGCTAGAGCAGAGTGAGAGAAGTATGAGACCAACAAGGAGAGGCAGGCTGGGGTCCCTATGAAGGACTGGGCAGTTTTAGACTAAAAACAATAAGGGAACATCGAAAAGTTTGACCTAATCAGCTTCACATTTTGTAGAGACCACCTTGGCTGCAGTTTAAGAGAACTAGAATGGACTCTGAAGTCCAGATAGGAGGCAGCTGCAGAGGTCCAGGGGAGAGATGATGGTAGACTGCACTGCATGAGTGCCTGGAGTAATGGAAAGCAGTAGATGGGTTGGAGACAAGTGTAAGAAAGAAATTGATAGGACTTGGTGGTAGATCGCATACAATAAGAAATGAAGGCCAGGGCAGATGCGAAGATGACTCTTCTCTTTTGAGTTAATCAAAGCAAGCAAGAGTGAGGTTTCTGCGTGCACAGACATACCCAGTTGTGGTGTCAGCAACATGACCCATAATGCTCTGTTCCCACCTCTAGAGAGATGTGGGCAGCTATGGGAATTCCTAGCTCTTCTCAGGAGCTTACAGATGTATTTTGAGCAGGTCCTCATGCTCAGAAAGCCCAAGAGAGTACCCATTTGGTAGAGGCAAAATAATGCTATAGTAAGGCAGCCCTGTTGATGAGTGTGAGTATTGCTCTTGCCTGCCAGAGTGATAATAGCTACATTGGTCTCTCCTGGGTAAGTGCCAGAACCCCAGAAAATGATGACTTGAGAACAAAGTGCCTAAATTAGCCCACCTGCACACACTCACAGAGGGTGCGTTTGGGTGAGGCAAAGAGGCAGGGGCTATTTGAAAAAATCTGACCTGAGTGGTGCCAGACTGTACCCTCTCCCTCCAGTCCTGCTTTGTTTTTACTTACAGTGCTATCACAGTCTGATCTGTTTTTTAATTTTTATTCAATTTAATAAAATTATATAGGTTTTAGGAGTACAGTTCTGCAGTACATCACCTATATTGTATTGTGTGTTCGCCATCCAAAGTCAAGTCTCCTTCCATCACTATTTATCTCCTCTTTACCTTCCCCTACCCCCCTTTCCCTCTGGTAATCACTATACTGTTGTCTGTTTCTGTTAGGATTTTTTTTCCTTTGCTTAATCCCTTCATCTTTTTCAAACTCCCCTCCCTCCTGACAGCGGCCAGTCTGTTCTATGTATCTATGAGTCTGTTTCTATTTTGTTTGTTAGTTTATTTTGTTCATTAGATTCCACATATAAGTGAAATCATATGGTACTTGTCTTTCTCTGACTGGCTTATTTCATCTAGCATAATATTCTCAGAATGAAAGTTACTCACAGACTAAAAGTAAAGGCATGGAAAAAGATATTTCATGCAAATGGAAATGACGAAAAAAGCTGGGGTAGCAATACTTATATCTGACAAAATAGACTTTAAAACAAAGGCTGTAATAACAGACAAAGAAGGGCACCACATAATGATGAATGGAGTAACCCAACAACAGGATAAAACCCTTGTAAACATTTATGCACCCAACATAAGAGCACCTAAATACATAAAGCAAATCTTGACGGAGATAAAGCAAGAGATCAACAGTAATTCAGTCATAGCAGGGGATTTTAACATCGCATTGACATCAATGGATAGATCTTCCAGATAGAAAATCAACAAGGAACTGGTGGCCTTAAATGAATGCACTAGATCAGATGGATTTAATTGATATATTCAGAGCATCAGAATATACATTCTTTTCAAGTCTGTATAAAACACTTTCTAGGATAGACCACACATTAGGACACAAAACAAGTCTCAATAAATTTAAGAAGACTGAAATCACATCAAGCGTCTTCTCTGACCATAATGCTAGGAAACTAGAAGTCAATCACAACAGCAAGACTGAAAAATACACGTGGACATGGAAGCTAAATAACATGTTTCTAAGCAATGAATGGGTTAACAATGAGATCAAGGAAGAAATCAAAAGATGATTTGAAACAAATGAAAATGAGGACACAAACAAAAATATATGGGACAAAATGAAGGTACTCCTAAGAGAGAAATTCATAGAATTACAGACCTCCCTCAGAAAACAAGAGAAACCTTAAATAAACAATCTAACTTTACACTTAAAGGAACTAGAAAAAGAACAATCAAATAATAATCCCAAAAAAATAATAAGAAAGGAAATAATAAAGCTCAGGGCAGAAATAAACAAAATCCAGTCTAAAAAACAATACAAAAGATCAATGAAACAAAAAGCTGGTTCTTTGAAGACATAACCAAGATTGACAGCCCTGGCCAGGTGGCTCAGTTGGTTGAGATGTCATCCCACACACCAAAGGGCTGCAAGTTTGACCCCAGGTCAGGGCACATGCCTGTGTTGTGGGTTCAATTCCCAGTCAGGGCGCATAAGGAGGGCAACAAATCACTGCTGCTTTCTCACATCGATGCTTTTCTCTCTCTCTCCTGCTTTCCTCCCTCCCTTCCCCTTTTCCTCTCTCTCTAAAATCAATAAAAACATATCACTGGATGCTCACTTCAGCAGCACATACACAAAAATTGGAATGATACAGAGAAGATTAGCATGGTCCCTGTGCAAGGATGATACACAAGTTCATGAAGTATTACATATTTTTAAAAGCTGTAGTACATTTACACAATGGAATACTATGCAGCAGTAAAAAGAAGGAATTCTTATCTTTTGTGACAGCATGGATGGAACTGGAGTCTATTATTCTAAGTGAAATAAGCCAGTCAAAGAAAGACAAATACCATATGATCTCACTTATAACTAGAATCTAAGGGACAACATTAACAAGTAAAATAGAATCAGAGACAAAGAAACAAGAAACAGACTGGCAGCTGTGAGAGGGGAGGGGGGAAGTTGAGACTGGGTAAAAGAAGGTGAAAGGATTAGAGAAACAACATATATGCATCACCCATTGACATGACAATGGTGTGGGGACTGACTGTGGGAAGGGGAGGCTGGGGGGGGGGCCCAAAGGGGGCAAAATGGGGGCAACTGCAATAGCATAAACAATAAAAACATTTTTTATTTTTTTACTAAAAATTAAAATTTGTATTAAAAAATAAAAACATATTTGGGTTAGGATTAAAAAAAAAAAAAGACTGACAAACCATTAACCAGACTTATCAAGAAGAAAAAAGAGAGGACCCAAATAAATAAAATAAAAATTAAAAAAGGAGAACTAACAACTGACACCAAATAAATACAAAAGATTATAAGAAAATATTACTAACACTATGTGCCAAAAATTGGACAACCTGAATGAATGGATAAATTCCTAGAAACACATAATCTTTCAAAATAGAATCAGAAAGAATCAGAAAATCTGAACAGACAGATTACAACTAATGAAGCTGAAGCACTAATTAAAAAAACTCCCAACAGACAAAAGCCCTGGCCTGGATGGCTTCACAGGTGAATTTTACTAAACATTCTGAGAAGAACTAACACATCCCCTTCTCAAACTATTCCCAAAAATCCAAGAGGAGAGAAGACTGTCAAGCTCATTTTATGAGGCCAATATTATCCTAATTCCAAAACCAGATAAAGACACTACAAAGAAGGAAAATTATAAGTCAATATCCCCGATAAACATAGATGCTAAAATCCTCAACAAAATATCAGCAAACAGGATGTAGCAATACATTAAAAATATCCTTACACCATGATCAAGTGGGATTTATTCTGGGGATACAAGGTTGGTATAATATCTGCAAATCAATACATGTGATACACCACATAAAATGAAGAATAAAAATCACATGATCTTATTAATAGATGCAGAGGAAGGATTCGTTAAAATTCAGCACACATTTTTGATAAAAACTCACAGCAAATAAGAATAGAGGGAACATATCTCAATGTAATAAAGACCATATATGACAAACTGACAGCCATCATATTCAACAGGCAACAACTAAAAGCGTTTTTCCCTAAGATCAGGAACAGGACAGGGATGTCAGCTTTCACCACTCTTATTCAACATAGTACTGGAATTCTTAGCCACAGTAATCAGACAAGATGAAGAAATAAAATGCATATAATTGAAAAGAAGAAAGTAAAACTGTCATTATTTGCAAATGCCATGACACTGTATATAGAGAACCCTAAAGATTCCACTGAAAACCTCCTAGAACTGATACATGAATTCAGAACAGTAGCAGGATACAAAATAAATATTGAGAAATCAGTTGCATTTTTATACACCAATAATAAATTATCAGAAAGGGAAACTAAGAAAAACAATTCCATTTATAATTGCATAAGGAAAATAAAATACTTAGGAATAAATCTAACCACGGATGTAAAAGACCTGTACTCGAAAAACTATAACACACTGAAGAAAGAAATTGAAGAAGAAACAAATAAACAGGAGCACATACCGTGTTCATGGATAGTAAGAATTCACATCTATAGATTCAACGCAATTCCTATCAGGATACCAATGGTATATTTCACAGAACTAGAACAAATGTTCCAAAAATATGTAAGGAACCATAAGAGACCCCAAATAGCCATAGAAATCTTGAAAAAGAAGAACAAAGTTGAAGGAATCGTGCTACCTGATATCAAACTACACTATAAGACCATAGTAATCAAAACAGCATGGTACTGGCATAAAGACAGACATATAGATCGATGTAAGAGAATGGAGACGCCAGAAATAACCCATGTCTTTATGGTCAATTAATATTTGACAAGCCCCGATAGTGTGTGGCCCAGATGGTTCAAATGTCATCCTGTACACCAACAGGTTGGGGTTTTGACTCCATATTGTGGGTTCGATGCCTGGTTGGGGCACATATGGGAAGCAACTGATTGATGTTCCTCTCTCTCTATCTCCCATTCTCCCTCCCTTCTTCTCTCTCTAAAATCAATAAACATTTTTTATTTTTTTAAAAATATAGTGGGAGTGGAACAGGCATGGGAGGTCCCACATTCACACATGGTCTCACATTCATGTGTGGTGGATAAAAATCAGGAGGAATGCCTTGGGAGCAAGTGACTGCAGCTCCAGGTCACACTGCATAGCCCAGGGTTCCAGCACTGGAAAGATAAAGCCCCAAAACTTCTGGCTGTAAAAACCAGTGGGGTTGAGGCAGTAGAAGAAACTGCCAGATTTTCAGGAAACCTCACTTAAGGGGCCCACATAGTCTTAAAATGTGTGCAAACCCACCCATTTTGGGATTCAGCACCAGGGCAACAGCTGAAAGGGTGCCAGTCACATACAGAGAGTGGGTGAAGTGACTGGAAACAGGCAAGTGCCAGGCAAACCCCCAGAAGCCAGGCAGTGGCACAACCCCATCTCCAAGGCCTCCTTCCCACACAGGGCCACAAAGTGGTGAAGCTGGTTGCCCCACCCTGGCAATTACTTAAGGCTCCACCCCACAGCCATTTACAGGTGCCTTTTACAGGCAATAAAAGCAGCTCTACCTAATACAGAGAAACAAACACAGGGAGGCTGACAAATTGAGGAGACCAAAGAAATATGGACCAAGTGAAAGAACAGAACAAAACCCCAGAAAAGGAACTAAATGAAATGGAGATAGCCAACCTATCAGATTCAGAGTTCAAAACACTGGTTTTTGAACACTGGTTTTTGAACACTGAGGCTTTGATCAGGATGCTCAAAGAACTCACTGAGTACGGCAACAATACAAAGGAAGAAATGAAGGTGACACTAAGCGAAATAAAGAAAAATCTACAGGGAACCAATAATTAAGGGAAGGAAGCCAGGCATAAATCAACAATTTGGAACATAAGGAAGAAATAAACATTCGACCAGAACAGGAAAAAGAAACAAGAATTCAAAAAAAAAAAAAAAAAACAAAACAACCCGAGGATAAGAAGACCCTGGGACATCTCCAAATGTGCCAACATCCGAATCATAGAGATGCCAGAAGGAGAAGAGGAAGGGTAAGAAATTGAAAACTTATTTGAAAAAATAATGAAAGAAAAGTTCCCTAATTTGGTGAAGGAAATAGACATACAGGCTCAGGAAGCAAAGAAAGTCCCAAAAGTTGGACCCAAAGAGGACTATACCACGACACATCATAATTAAAATGCCAAAGGTTAAAGATAAAGAAAGAATCTTAAAAGCAGCACGAGAACAGAAGAAAGTTAATTGCAAAGGAGTACCCATAAGATATCAGCTGATTTCTCAAAAGAAATTTTGCAGACAAGAAGGGACTGGCAAGAGGTATTCAAAGTGATGATAGGCAAGGACCTGCAACCTGGAGTACTTTATCCAGCAGAGCTATCATCTGGAATGGAAGGACAGATAAAGTGCTTCCTAGACAAGATAAAGCTGAAGGAGTTCATCATCACCAATCCCTTACTATATGAAATGTTAAAGGGACCTATTTAAGAAAAAGATCAAAACTATGAACATTAAAAAGGCAACAAATTCACAACTATCAATAACTGACTCTAAAACAAAAAAAAACCCCACCAAACTAAACAACTAGAACAAGAACAGAAGGTATAGAGATCACTTGGAAAGTTATCAGCTGGAAGGGAGAAGTGGGGAGAATGGGGATAAAGGTGAAAGAATTAAAAAGTATAGTTGGTAGGTGCAAAATAGACAGGGTGATGTTAAGAATAGCATAAGAAATGGAGAAGCCAAAGAACTTAAATGCATAGCCCATGGACATGACTAAGGGGGAGGGGAATTGCTGGAGGAAAGGGGAGTACCAGGTAGAGGGGGTACAAAAGGGGCAAAATTGGGACAACTGTAATAACATAATCAATAAAATATACAAAAAATATTTGACAAAGGAGGCAGAAACACAATGGGATAAAGACAGTCTATTCAAGAAATGGTATTGGGAAATTTGGACAAATATGTGCAGAAAAATAAAAACTATACCACCTTCTTACTCCATACACAAGAATAAACTAAAAATGGATTTTAATTAAAGACTAAAATGGTAGACTCAAAACCATAAAAATCCTAGTAGGAAACATAAGCAATACACTCTTGGACATTTCCTGTTCAATTTCCAGCAATATTTTGCCTGATATATCTCCTTGGCAAAGGAAACAAAAGAAAAAAAAATTGGGACTACATCAAACTATAAAGTTTTTTTGCACAGCAAAGGAAACCATCAACAAAACGAAGAGATGACCCACTGAATGGGAGAAGCTGTTTGCCAAAGATATATCTGATAAGGGGTTAATATACAAAATGTATGAAGGACTGATAAAGCTCAACACCAAAACCCCAAATAATCCAATTTAAAAATGGGCAAAGGACCTGAAGAGACACCTCTCCAAAGAGGACATACAGACAGTTAATAGACATATGAAAAAATGCTCAATGTCACTAATCATTAGAGAGATTCAAATTAAGACCACAATGAGATATCACCTCATACCTGTCAGAATGGCTATTGTCAATAAATCAACAAAAAAACAAATGTTAGTGACCTGGCCAGTGTGGCTTAGTTGGTTGCAGCATTATCCCATACACCCTATGTTGGTGGTTCAATTCTCGCTCCTAGGTTGTGGGTTTGATGCCCAGTTTGGGCGCACATGGGAGGCAACCAAGCAAAGTTTCTCTCTCGCATTGATGCTTCTCTCTCTCTCTTTCACTCCCTCACCCTTCCT